GAGACTGAGGTGGGAAAACTGATTGAGCCCAGGAGTTGAAGACTAGCCTAGGTAATGTAGCAAGACTTTGTCTTTACAAAAAATCAAAAAAATTTAGCTGGGCATGGTAGTGTGCACCTGCAATCCCAGCTACTTGGGAGGTTAAGGCAGGAGGATCACTTGAGCCCAGTAAGTTGAGGTTGCAGTGAGCCATGATCATGCCACTGCCCTCCAGCCTGGGCAACAGAGGGTGAGACCCTGACTCAAAACACACACATACACACACACATACTGGCTGTTGTATGGAACAGATTGGAGGGAGGGCAAGAATGTAGGTGGCAAGTGCAGTTAGAGAGCTTCTGCATGAACAGGTAACAGTTGATAGTGACATATCCTGAGATGGAGACAAAGAAGGTGATGGCTGGATTACAGACATACCTTGGAGACGGATCAGTAGGATTTTATGAAGGACTGGATGGGTGGGGAAATAGCTAGGGTGACACACGGACAGTTCAGCTTGGGCATCTCAGGGAGTGGAGGTGTCATTCACTAAGGCAGGGAAGAATGGCAGAGGTGTGAATTTCAGCAGGAGCTAAAGTGAAGATCAAGAGTTCAGGTTTGGACACCTTACGCCTGAAATGTCTTTCATTATGTCATGTCATCATTGTGCAAAGACATACACACACATCTAGACCGGAGTTGGCTGCACAGCACAGAGAGTACCTCCTATCATTGGGATGGATGAAATTACCCAGGGAAGTATAGAATATATTACTTTACTGTCCTGATGAACTATATTTTGGGGTAAGATAGAGGAACAGCTGGAAAAATTGCAGGGAAGCTAAAAGGTAGGAGTGATTCAAGACAGAGGAAGCTGTCAGCCTTGTGGAATATTGTTGAAAAGGTAAGAGGGTTTCAAAAGTGGCTGCTGGATGTAGTCAACACGGGAATCACAGATGAACTTGGCAAGAGCAGTTTCAGAATGGCTAGAAACCAGTTTGGATTGAACTGAACAAATGAACAACAGAGGTAGGTGGGGAAAGTCAAACCCTCAATGACCTTGGCTCTGAAGGAGTGGGGAGACAGGCAGGAACTATCTCTTGAAGGAAAGGAGTGAGCTATGACCTCCTAAAGTGTCACCCCGGTCAAAGTTTTCCAAATCAGCAGTTGAGATGGCTTCCCTTACAGCTCTAGAAGACAATGTGCATGAACTAAGAGAGAATGGGAAGAGTCTTCAGCTATTGCCAGCTTCCCCCTTGACCTTGGCTTCACCTCATTATCCCCGGCATGAGAGTCCCATTCCTTGCTCAAACCTTACTTGGGACATTTCTTGGGTGCTGTGCTCCAGCATTCAAAACTGTGTTGGCCAGGCACAGTGACTCAAACCTGTAATCCCAGCACTTTGGGAGGCCGAGGCAAGAGGATTGCATAAGCCCAGGGGTTCAAGACCAGACTGAGCAACTTGGCAAGACCTTGTCTCTACAACAAATTAAAATATTAGCCAGAGATGGTAGTGTGCACCTGTAGTTCCAGCTACTTGGAAGACTGAGGTGGAAGGATCGTCAGAGCCCAGCAGGTTGAGGCTGCGGTGGCTGTGGGCGTGTCACTGCACTCTAGCCTGGGCGACAGAGTAAGACTCCAACACAAAACAAAAAATCAGACAAACAACAAAAAACCCCACAAAAACCTGTGCCATCATAAAGTCTTCTGCCTCTACTGGAAAGTTCCTGCAAACCTAGGAGGTATAAAGAAGGTATGGAGAGCCTCTTGACACCCTCTATCTGGTCAAGAAGATCTCCCTTGAACGTTCTCTTTGCCAGACTGTGTTATCCTAGCCCCACCCAAGAGACCCATTTAACTTTTGACCTTGTCTCCTACCTTCTCCTTCTTGAACTCCACACTCCAGCCTACCACGGTCTCTTGAAGCACCTTTCATTTTCCTATGTCCACATGTCTGCTGGCCTTCCGCTTTGGAATCGGCTCCTCCTCCTTGCCTAGCTGAGCCCGTTCACAACTAGAAACCCTTCCAGGTCCCCCAGCTCTCTCCCAGGCACCTCCACACTGCTCAGGAGCACTGTTTTCTCTGCATATGTCCACACCTTCCCTAAAATGAGTGGCAAGACCACCTGCATATTCCTTTGTCTTCTTTGGTGATGCCTATACATCAGAAGCACTTGGTAAATATTTGCTTATTGATTAATTATTGAGAAAAGCTAGGGGCCCTTCCTCCCTGAGGAATGAAGACTTACAGCGGTTTGTTCAAGGCTGCATTAGCAGGATTCACCAGGACGAAGAGAGAAGTAAGTAAGTGTCACAAGTATTCACCAACCTGGATTCTATAGAATCATTTGAGGAAGTGCCAAGTCACTGGGTTTAAGTTCAAGTTAAACTCCAGCCATCATGGTCACCAACTATTTCAAATGATCTTCTGGAAGACTACTCCTTGAAAATGTTTAAAAGTTAAACCATAAAAGCTCAGGTTTTCTTTTAATCCTATAGCTAAAGGTTTCCTACCATTTTAAGCTGTGGATTTCCTCTGGCACAGTCCTTTTTAAAATATTGAAAAGGCAGCGTTCTAACCCAAACCCTTTTACCACATCATGGTCCCTGTGACAGAACACTGCATAGGGGTGAAAATCCAGCCTGTGGTACTTTTTCCACTCAAGTACTGGCTAACGTACTTGAGTACTTAATAACTAATAGACTGCAGCAACTTTCATGCAATATGAGTTCCTATTTAAAAGTTTACACGACCAAAGTCTTCAGGGCATAAGTGTTTTGTAGAAATCGGTTCAATCAAACCTGAGCTCCAAAGTGACCTTGAGCACATAGCAATTATTGCAACCACAAAGAGACAGGTAGACACTGGACACAGATCCATAATAATATGCTTTATGATTTCTTGGGGGCTATTTCCTGCTCCCCTGCACCAACAACACGAAAAGCGAGAATCTTAAAATACCCAAAGTGGCAGTTTAAAAACAGAATGTCTTTCCAGATACCAAATGCAAGGATTCTGTGGGGAAGAGTCAGGAATACTGTCATTGATTCATGCCCATTAAAGTTGGTTCCAGTGTAGACACACCCTCCTATAGATTCAAGGAAGTTCAATGACCATGTCTGTTTATATCTCAACTTGATTTATTTATACGTTTGCTTTTAATTTAGTTATTCACGAGAGATTGAAGGCTGCAGAGCCTGGCTACGCAATCTTGGGAAGAGTGAGGCTACTTCTGTGCAGTCCTGGCCTCTTATACCCCGGTGGAGGCTGTAGGGGAGGGCAGTTCCTGTCTTCCTGCAAAATTATCCACTGTCATGGGGTAAGGACAGAAAAGTGAGAGGGAGGATTCTTGCTGTGTCTGTGGCTTTCCCTGACTTGGCTGGAAAGAGTGGGATTATTTTTAAAAAGCAATTTTAAGAGACACGTGTTCAGATACAATCATTCTTTTGAGGGCGTGTCTGTTTTTAAACGGCATGATTCACCCAAAACAACATATCCCCCATTTCTCACATCTAGCTGTCTTCCAAACGGAGGGGAACACAGTGTACAGAGGCATATTAGAAACTGGGTCTCACATTTAATCACCAGAAATGAGCTTTCTCCAGCATTGAGCTTTTAATCTTAAAGTGAAAAGTGTGAGGACTTTGGGAGGAAAAAGGAACCAAAACAACTAGTCGAAATTTCTTTTAGCGCCTATGACTAGTGCTAACTTACATGCTCTCAGAGTGCAATAAAAAGCCTGTAAACTGCTGCTAAAAAGATGGTCTGACCTTTTAAAATGGGACTTCCCCCACCTCATATTCATATTAAATAGACGAGCCTTGGGAACTCTAGAGTTTTAGATAAATGAATGAAATGAGGTTGAATTTCCAGAAAAAGGGTTTCCCTATAGGCTGCAGGTTAATTAGGGTGTTCTACACCCACACTGTAACAGCAGGTAGAACACACAGGCCCTAAACCTTTTAACCATTGTAGTTGTTCGGAGTCTAGTTCTGAAAGAAGGCGGGCGGGGAGTTATGAAAATTTAGTAAATAAAAAAGTCCTGGACGCGACCGCCCGCAGCCTGCGGTTCCGGGTAGCCTGTCGGTCCCTGGCAGCCAAGAAGTCGCGGCAATCCGGGTCTCCACCGCAGCCGCCGAGCCCGGCACGCACCAACGGGCGCTGCTGAACCAAGTTGGAGAGCTCCCAGCTCGCAGGCAAAACTCGGCGGTGGGCGCCTGGGAATCCCTTCCGGCGTCGCAATTAGGAAAGTTTTGAAAGTAAAGACCCTAAACAGACAAAGAGATCCATCCTTTTCTTGAGCATCAGAAACACCCCGCGCCGCGCCACCCAAGCAAGGCTCCTCGCACGAGGCTACCCGCCCTGCTTGGCCAGGACGCTCACGGTGCCTTCCAGCTTCCCACCGGAACGGTTCCAAGGGGCGCGGAGACAGAGGCAGCTCTGCCCGGCTGGCGGTTCCAAACCGACCCCCCCCCCCGGGCTCCCTGGCCTGGGGGACAATGGTTCAACAGTCTAGGGGGCAAGAGCTGAGCCACCAACTCCTGCTCGGTGCCCAGGACCTTCTCTTCCAAGCCCCCTCCGGCTTCTCCAAAGGACGCGCGGCACAGCCCATGCGCCCCCGGCACTCCACTCCACTCCTCTCTCCACGCTTCCCCCAAAACTCTTCCCAGAGAGACCCACGAAGCACAGACGGCGCCCTGAAACTCCCAGGACACTCGCCAGCCACCCCCACCTCCGCCTCTCGAGCCCTCCTTGACGCGTTCTTCCCGCCCCGCTCCGTTCTCCTTGCGTTTCTGTAGAGTCAGAAGCAAACCGCGAGAAAATGCCTTCGCTGGGAGCCTCCCTACACCCGCCCTGTCACTGAAACAAAAGCGGAGGGAGGAGGGAAGTAGAAGAGGAGGCGGGAGGAAGGTTTAGAAAGAGGAGAGGGACAGAGGTAAGGAGCTGGGGCCGGGGGTCAGGGTGTAGAGCAGAGACGGGGCCGGAACCCCGCTCCAGCGCCGCGCGGCCGGTCGCTTACATGCCCAGGTCGCTGTAGGTGTTGAAGAACTCCATCTGGTTGCACGCCTGGATCCAGCCCACCACCCAGGTCTCGTGGCGGGGGATGGGGGGCATGACCACGCGGGCCGAGGCTTTGAAGTAGGGGGTCTTGTAGCGCAGGACGATGGGCGAGGTCTCCTCGATGCGCGTAGGGCACTGGTCGATGGTGGCGCACACATCGTACACCACGATGTTCTCGCGCCGGATCCGCGCCTTGCAGGTGATGCTTTGGATACAGCCCATCCTG